CCCGGATGTCCGCCCCCGAGGATACCGTGTGTACTACAGGGCATACAACCAAGTGCTGGCAATTTTGAAAAGGGTGAACCCTTATTGCTTCACATGAAGAGTCTGCTACGAATCGATCGTGAAACTTAATTCTCAAATTTGATATAAAATGTTGAAAATAATTTTTACCACAATTCAGTTACTTTATAAGTCAAATGATTTTAACTTCTGTAAGAAAGCGTTCAACAAATACAAGACTTTTTTTTTTCTTCAAGTTTCATCTTGTTTTCAACTAAAGTGGAACTCAGCGTCGTTAAGCACCTTACATACGAAGGGGCGTCACAAATGTTACATGGTACTAATGGATACAGTGCAATAAATAGCGATTATGTCGGAAATCCATCACACCCTGACAGGACAGATTGCTATGCGATATCCGTATTACAAGAGAGTGGTTTTCACGCAAACATACATGCCACAAAAAGGAACCCATTGACCCAGGGTCGTCGTATTTTATATTTGAGATGCATTTTTTAATTCTTGTTCGGCAGCCAAGAAAAGATATACAATAACAACAGTGACCGGAAAGATATATTGTGCTATTTATGTATACCATTAGAATTTTTGACAATCACACAAGTACATTTTATGTATCGTTTTTATATCGTGCATTTACGTAATGCATTTTTTCAAAATCTTCACTGATTACCTGTTTCCCAGCGTATTTTTTTTTAAGTTTTGATGTTTGTATATAAGATTTAACACAATGAAACTATCATATCTATCCGATCTCATTATTATTCCAGTTGCAGTTAGGCAAAGGCGTTCTTCGTCCATTATAAGGTTATTTGAACCCCGTTAAAAACAAGAGCATTACGGAAAGAGGGAATTTTCGGTTGCTGCACCCAAGCTCTGGGACGCATTTCGCAGAGCTTTTTGCCTTGCACCCACTTTGTCTGCTTTCAAGTCTCAACTAAAAACTCATCTTTACCATATAGCTCACCATAGTACATCAGTACAATGATGTGTATTTATCTGGTTTTAATGCAATCTTATTTCTAAATAATGTATTTTTATACCTATTTTTATGTAAAGCGCATTGAGATTATATGTTTTATGTAATGCACTATATAAAAATTAAATAATAATATTAATAATAGGGTATGATTATATCAGAATAACACAGTTCATTCATCTGCTTGTTACTCGTTGGTCATTGAAGATATAATTAATGAATATAGTTGGCTCATGTCCAATTTTCTATTCCATTAAACTGATACTTAATTATAATTATATTCAGTATGAATGGTATTGAACATAAATCATTATATTAATTCACTAAAGCCAATATTTATACAACCCGTGTCTACAATATAATATATTAGTTAAAAGTAAGTGTTCTTTATTGTCCAAGAGGCAAAGATGGGGACACTAACTGAAATATTGAAATTGAAATGTCATACAACACAACGATGAATTCTTTGGATAAAGGGTTATATAACTTCACTTATCTCTTATCGTTTTGAATTTCACAATGATTTTTGTTAGTGAGTTTGCACATTAATATGCAGGGTCGCTGTCAAATAAATTACAGTCCCTACTCAATACATTAAAATGTTATCACATGTCAATATCTCGCAATGACGTAACCTTCGACCACATATGGTAAATGGCATAGTATATAATTATATGTCAAAACAAAGCTATCAGTGCCTGGGAATATATCAGAGAAACGAGGGACACCATTGTTAATCCTGATAATGTATTTATATGTATTTAATGTATGACATTTGTTTTACCACTGTTACAGTACCATAATGACTATTTCGGTTTGTACAGACGGTGTAAGATTAGACTTAACCAAATGTGCTCTGAACATTTCAATTTGTTTCACGAATTGTATCATGGGATTGAACAAACAAACAAAATAAATGCCATTCGTGCCATACACATAAAGGAAGTATTACTTGACTTGTACTTTTGCCGAATATTTTTAACTTCTTTTTCACGATTCCATAACAGTCAGTGTTGACCGGAGAAGTACAGTTAGTTAGAAAAGAAGTTATGTAGTCACGGTCGCCATCTAATCGAGACTGTAAACATTTTTGCATGAATCATGTATAACTATCCGTTATAATGTGAAACTGGCGCCAAACCTAGGTATTCTCATAACAATAACGTTTCTACGAAGCATGTAATTGAATAGTTGTGCCTGTTGTATTCGTTCTTTGATAAGCAACGATAGACAATTCGACGGGATGATGTGGGCAGAATACTGTACTGTAGTTTAAACTATATCTATCAAAACGGCATTTCAAGTTCATTAACAGTTTGTCATACTTCCTGTCTTTCACTGCCACGCTACACCTCTGTTGCCAATTGATACCACACCCAATAAAGGGCTGTGTAATATCACGCGGATTTGGCATCAAATACGGACGTTTGTCGTAGTGGTGACTGTTGCTGTAAGCCATTTACTAACGGGAATAATCTCACAAACTCGACATCTCTCTGGGAGTATTTCATTGTGTTGATTTCTGCGTAAGTAGCCCCGGGGCTCGGATATCACGTCATACCTTGTTATTGATGAATATCATTTCAAACCACAGCAGAAGATTTCCAAAATAAAATAAATAATTACAAAATGTATTTAGAAGCATCCGTTCATCGCGTAACGAAATGATCTGTTATTGAAGGGTTCAATACAGTCCGCCATGGGAAGCAATTGTTACAACCTCTTTATATTGTGTTTGCGCTTTACGCACGTCTGCCACGGACAGTCTCCAATTTTGCGATCATTCACCTCACTATGTACGATATTTTTTTACATTTTTCCACAGTTAATTCACCCCTAGCCTGATAAGATCGCGTGAGTTGCGCCCTCGGCGGTGCTTCAAACCCAATTGTCTGATGCCGTTCGACCGGTGAGGGCACTATTCACGCCTATTTGTCAGGCTATAAATAGTAAAAAAAAATGTCTGTGGCAACCAAACTATATATTAATATTTGTAGAAACGTAAACACGAACAATTAATAGGAATGAGGGGAAACAACGTTCTGTTTACATACACAATTTGGAAGAAAATATTATATGATATGATTTCACTGAAAGGGATTTCCTAACATCTCCGTTTGTCTTGTTTTCTGGTGAATATTTCAATACCATTTCCGGCATGAATGGATTCGATTCGATGTTATAGCCGCACCCGTTAACGCGTCCACTATTACCCAATCTATGTACCCATTATATTGGAACCATGGATACGTTTACAGATGGAAATGGAACACTATTTGAGGGCAACAACAAGTGTCGTGGCTACTCTCGCTCCAAACGAGACCTCGTCGGCCATTTGTGTCTAAAGTCAACTGACAAATCAAGTACAGTTATTACGCGTACCCGTCTCAATCAACAAACACACGTTTAGCGATTCGTGGCTATATACTAGTAGTTGGATGTATTATATATCGCATACGGGGGCATGACAATATGATAACCCCCGTACTTGACTAATCAGCGGAGCGATTTAAATAATACGCATTGAATAACTTGTAAATGACAAACGCTTAATAAATTATAACTGATAATTGTGTTTTAATGGTTATCGTTTCACGTCAATGAGTTCAGTTTACAATGTGCTTACAGTGTCGACGCATTTGTTGCGTTACACAATACGTGGAACGCGAAGGTATACAGGTATGAATTTCCAACAAGATTTCCCCTTATTTCCGGTGGACTTAACTCATCGTATGACGTGTATAAGTATGGAGCGAGACGTGCCGTTGCCTTTTAACAAACATTATTTGATACGCGCCGGTCGACCATTTTTAGATTTCTAACAGACGAACAACCACGTAACCAAATGTGTATTTGAACGACGTTGCTTACACCTGTCTACGTCGTCGTTATAAGAAGAATTCATTAAAAGCAGTAAACAGTCGAATAAGTCGTAAACTTAAGCCATGCGTCAGTGATGATGGTGTCAGGCATAAACGTTAGAGTGTAATTTACGGCGGCAGTGTGTGGTTTTTCTATTAAAATATAAAATTTTAATGTGTAAAAGTCACGTGACCATGTTGATATTCTTTGACTTATGTTACACATGACACCACATTAAATTTGGATTATATGTAAACATCAAAAATAGCTTTGTTTCTGGGGCGCTGTAGTTGAAAGGTCAGCGCGTGTCGCGTTACAGCGTATTTTGTTCTCACAAACAAGAAAGAAATGAAAAACAAATATTAAAAAGAAATGAGAGAAAAAATGTCACGCCACAAGCCTCTCAATGCCATAAATAAATCAACCGTTCGCCTTTTTTCAATTAATATCTTGTTTTAACCAAAGAAAAAACTAGAAATCTTTTTTTTTTAAATCTATTGAAAGGACTTAAAACAATGTTTTTATCACGGTGTGATATATCAACATTGCTACCATTTCTCAACGGCATGATATAGGTATTACAATATTTATAAATATGTATTTTGCAGTGAAAATGATCAATGATATATGCATTGTCAGTTACAATTAGACTTTTTGTTGATGGTCCGCATTTTTAAAACGAATTTCTACCGCTATTTTAATATCACTATTTAAAAAAAAGAGTTGTCTTTCCTTTGAATAGATTTTTCATGTTTTTATACTATAATTGCGACGGTTGTTTCTTACATTGTCGACAATTGATAATATCGTCCGCCTCAGCCAGCAACATCTGTGTACTTCCCAAGAAATCAAATCAGACGGACATTAACAACCGTGATTATCGTCACTGAGCTGAGGGGCCTAACGGGCTCAGATGGCATAAAAACAGATCGTGCAATCGGTGAGAAGGATAATTACAGCAGACGGCCGATGCACGATGCTCCTTCTACGCTTATTCACTAAATGAAAAAGATAGGATGGTTAGCAACGGACGAAGCTATACTCGGTGTCTCAACTAAACAAACAGTGTCCGTTGGTTCTGTTTTAATGTATTTCTTCACTAATGTTGTGTCCTCGTGTGCGACCAGAACGATGTTGTCTCTTCATGACGTTGCTATTCGTGTGTTTCTACACAACGCTGCTTGTGTACATGGTATACAACTCCAACGATGACGGCGGCGGTACGGGATTAGGGTTCGGTCATGTGGACTTCAGACACCCGATGTTCTATCGCCAGAACATGATCCTAGGTGACCAGTCCCCGGGACGCGGTGGCATCGTGGCTCCACCGGGAGCCAATTTACCGGTTTCTGACAACACTATTCAGCGAGTTCTGCCGAGACATAACACAGGATACTCAGATGATTGCGTTAAACTGCACTTCTCTAACAAGCCACTGCCGTTAGTTGCTCTCGCCAGCTTCCCCGGTTCTGGCAACACATGGGTTAGGCATTTACTACAACAAGCCACGGGTAAGTACCGTCCCCATCTCACATCTTGGAATATCGTGTAGCGGGCGACTTCACAGTATAGCCGTATTTAAAATATATGTATAAGCATATATCACGAAACTGGCGTGTTACTACAGTTACAGTTATCCGTTATGGTACGGTGACTGACCCCATTGTTTGTCAAACCGGAAATTATGATTTTACGAAGCATATGGGTTTGTAAAATGGCTCTCAACAAATGCGTGACATTGTTAATAACAAAATAGTTAAATAATTTGACCCCGGTTTAAGGTTATATATATATGACGCTTATTATAAATATACCTCTAATCACACAGTGACACCACGCATTTCACCCTGTGGCTGGCCCCTGTATATCATTCACGCGTATTTTTGTTTTGAAGTGGGTAGCAGCTAGAAAGAATTTGTACGTATCATGGAGCGTATGTGTTAATAGCCAAAGTAACGCGACTGACTAAAAGCGATTATGCTCAGCACACACATACTTGGGGAAATTCAATGATGTAGTGATGTGCGTATTGTATCGCTGCCAAGCATGCATTTGTCGCTTTTTGATATACGCGACTGTCTCCATTGTAGAACGATACACACGCTCACTGAACGGATGAACAATTCTGTGGGGGTCTGTTCTGTATAATGAATCAACGTGACAAGCAGTGAATACTAAACCCTATATGAACGTCTATAACACCCCTAATCTATTAATAACTTACTGAATGAACATGAAGGGGGTCGTCCGCAAAAAATGACGTCATTTGAGGTTACCACTGTGACAGCGATCGGGTCCCAACTGCCGCTTGAAAGAGAATTCATCACGAACGGGTACAGTGTGTGTAATATGCAATTGATGTCACGGTTTGCCGCATCAACCTGAATTAATGTATTTATTGTTGTTATTCATATGCTATGATGGGCAATATTAAATACTCTAATGTCGTTCCCACCTCGTGTGCAATTTTAAACAGCGATTGGCTATCCTCGGGGGCGGACATTCGGGCATTGTCACCGCTTGGCAACTCTGGCGGTGAAAACAAAGGCCAAAAACTCGCAGAAAACGGTACTTTGGGATGGTTGTTGAGACTCCCCTGAACAGTGTAACAAGATTAGCCCTACTTGTGTTACATATATGAATTTGGTTGTTCGGGATTACTTCAAAGTTGAGTTTGTGTTGTTTTCTCGAATTTTCACCGGCTCCACCGGCGTTCCACAGCAGCGCGCACAGAGCCCATAGAAATGAATGTACAGTGGTGCGCGTCTTAGCAACGTGGAACGTCTTGTGACGTAGCTCCGCCCCTGAGGATTGCGTAGTCCAGGGTTGCAGTTTGTCGATTATACTGATCATTTGTTTGGAAAGATAAACATCTACGGAGAGTATGCGTCGACAATCGTCAACGGATCAGGTCTGTGTTGCTATGGTGTCGTGCACTGTTGTAGTAGAAAAAGCTGACAGTGCCGGTGATCAACATTAACGTAGACAGGCGTACTAAACTACCTTCATTTAGATGCAATCTGTGTTGCAAAATCCGTGGCTGAACCTGTTTATGTGCACTCTCGTATATCGATTTTAATTCAGACTAAGGCTATGAGCTCCCTTGACAATGGATTTAAACGTATCTAGGGAAGATGTCTCACATG